GGAAGCTCAAACACTTCTAAAACCTAACGTGGTAGGATGTATTTCCCTGCCCACAGAGAGGAGGCAGCACCAAGACAGGTCTTAGGATTGAGCACCCAGAGCAGGACATGGATACAGAGCCCTCAGGGAAGAATATATGAAGCACTCTCTTCCTTTCTCCTCTCCCCTTCTCTTTTTAATCATCGAGCTTGAGATTGCAAGTCTCTCGTTACTGTTCGAGTCCTGGGTTTTCAGCAACTTCCCTTGCGGATTAAATAATACTTCAAGCACGTGAAGCTGAAGCTGCAAGCAGCGTGTCCTGTCGTTACACTTGTGTGAGCATTACAGTTCGCAGGTTGGAGCACTCCTAAGTACTAACTGATAACATTCACCTTGTGTTGAAAGAAACAGAACTGATAATTACAGAAGAAAACCTATTTGCAACCCCCTTGCTATTCGCTGGCTCAGTGTGTAAATGCGGGTAGAGCGCACGAAAGGTGTCAGGACTGTAATTGCCAGCTTGCGCAGTGAGTTCTCAGGAGAATCTCCACTTACCCTTCTGTAAAGTGGTAATGAATTTCTAGATAACTTTTTTGGCAGGTTGTGGCAATTCACTCGTATTTATAAAGCTCTTTGAGATTCCTGGTTGCAGGACTAAAATGTTATTTCATCTCCCGCTGCCTATGTTTCAGTGTTACCACATGGGCATATGAAACACATCTGAAACAGTGATATATCTCTGCGTGAATTCAGACCTGGTAGCCCAGTCCATAAATTTTCTTTTGACAGAGGAACTGATTCCCTCACACTTACCGCATTTATTAGATGGTATTTTGCCACGTGGAGCTCTGTGCGTCCTCTACCTAGGACGATGGATATCTCAGAGTTCAAGCGTCAATAGTAGTCACAGCTTGCCTATGAGAGAGCTCCTGCCTGGGTTCTTTCTTAGTTATCGTGCAGGAAATAAATGAACGGTGAAGTCATGGTAAGCTTTCTTCACAGGCAAATGGAAGGAGTGGGAGAATATTCTGAATTGTACGTACTTCAAGCTACGAACTAGTAGCTACAGCGCGGGACGAGATGGGAAGAAAATTTACTTCTGCTGCTCAGAAAGTCGAGCTAAGAGTGCACAGCTTTTAAAGCTGCTCACCTTTGAGTGTTTCTGACCCACCGTGGAATCCTTTTTCCCAAAGTTCTTTAAAAAAAAAAAATCCCACTTATGATGCTATTCTGGAGGCTCAAGGTTTTATGTCTCTTGAATTCATATAAAAGAGGATCCTATAAATAATTGTTGTCAGGGACCATGGATAGCATTTCTGTATTTTGGCAAAGTATCCATTGTTTTCTCCTGAGCCTTTCACTCAGGAGGCAGAATCACTTCCCTCACGAGAAATCTCTGTAATAAATCTGTTGCAAGATCTCCTTAGCCAGGCTCGTGTGATTCAACACTAACAGTCCTGGTATTCTGTCTAGTGATGTTTCACAAAAAAGAAATGTCTATAACATTTTACAGCAGAATATTTTCCCTTTTACCAGGTCTTTCCTCCATTTAAACCGACTCCAAAGAAAATCACCCTTATTCCACGCAATATGATGCAGGTGAGCGTTATTTCTTCTGAACTAATCAGAATTTTTCACTCCCCTTCACCCATTGCTTCCTTTCCCCCTCAGTACTGGGATATTTCAGGAGAGGCGTGCAACAGGCAACCGGAGACATTAATTCCCTAAACCCCAGGGTTTAGATTTGCTAATATATGTATGTTTTCCTCAGTGAAGAGCTTGTGTTTTGTTTGAATATACTTCGGGTGATGTCGGAAGGTGGCCCCAGCCACAGTCCATCATCCGCTTCTCTGTCACGAGCTGCTCCGTTGCCGAGGTTAACTGGCTTGGATGAGTAACGGCAAGGACAGTCGGAACAGCTGTGACACGGGGTGCTATCGGGGTGGTTAGTGAAGACAAGAAAAAGTGACTGGCTTTTCACAGGTGTCTTTCCATCGTATTCTTTCCTGTCTCATCCTTTCCCTTCCCCTTGGAGAGAATGTTGATGGTTTGTCTTGGTTGCCTTGACCTTGAAAAGTTGGCCTTGGAAAAAACTCCCATTAATGGCATATTTCATCTCGTATTGTACCGTGACAGCTAAGGGGAAGAGGTAATTGTAAAATGGCCGTTTCAGTTTAATTGTTCCCTGTTGTAAACAAGAGATGAGGCTGTTACATCATGGGTGGGAAGCTGCTCTTTCTCTGGGTGGTTTTTCTTTTTTCTTGCTTTCTGGTGCCCCCAGGGGGATAGCGTTAAAGGCAATAGTCAATCCGTGAGAGAAGTCAGAGAGCTTTAAAAGAAATCTAAGCATGTTAGTTTTGTCAGCAGGTACCAGCATTGTACAGGAGACGGTTTGGAAACGGCGAGCTGGTGTGGCAATGTAACCACCGACTCGGCGGCTCCTGGAGACGTGGTAGCCAACTCTTGCCTGCTTGGCAAAAACCGGCCGAGCCCCTAACCAGGACGCGGACGGTTCTTTTCAGAAGTGGAGCTATAGACCACTTCAAGCTGTTTAGTTTATTCAGATGTCTCAAAGCTTAGTTGTTGTTTTATTTTTGCAGGATCAATTAGAAGTCATTCGGTTAAAAGCAATAAGAGTTCACGTACCTGCCACAAAACTTATGAGTATTGTGGCCGATACTGAAAACTTCTGTTGGCCAGAAGTTAAGGAGGATACTCACCCTAATGGGCTACTGCAATGAGTAACTTACTGCAGGTTTAAACCCTGAGGTAGGCATTTACTTGAGTGATGCAATCAGTCAAAAGAACTTCTTCAGTTCTCTTAATTCAGTAATTGTAGCATGCTAAAGCGAGTACTGCTGCTGGCTTATGAAAGAGAAGCAACAGCCTCGTCCAGCTGTTCAGGCTGGCTGCTTTAGTCCCGTTTGCCTAACGCGAGGAATTCAAGCGTTGTAGTGGGCCGGAGCTCTGCGCTGAACTGCAGTTGGGGTCTGGGAAGGACTGCGGAGCGTGCAGGGGAGGGCAGCAGCGAAGAACCGGGGCTTAGCAAGGAGCAGCCTAGAAGTGCCAGAACACAAACGCCCGGAGCAGCGGTACTGACCTCCCTCGTGTTTTAGCTCACACGTGCACGGTGCTTTCTGAAATTCCTCTGTAGAAATTTGGAGTGCTGTCGCGTGCTTTGGGAATCGATTGGTGGTGGGAAGAGGACAGGATCTTTTCACCGAAGTTAGTCATTTAATCAAGGGAGAGGAGGGTTTGTTTTGTATTTTAAAGGACCACAGAGAATATACTACTACTGGTGATAAGTTTATGATGCATGTATCATCATTCCCCTTCCGCTCCCAATTTTTAAGCGTTCGCATTCAATTTCTAATGACGTATAATGTGACCTAATGATTTGTCTGTGCTTGCTCTGCCACCTAACCCTCACCCTTGCCAGAGCCCAGATCTCCCCAAGCTCCCAGGGCACTCTGGACAGAAGCAGGGGTTGGAAAAGCCCAGCAAATGCCAGGGGGCTCTGTGGAATGCAGCAGGGCCTCACACGGGCATCAGAAAAACCCGGCGAAGCCTCTGGGATACTGTAGAAAACAGCAGGGCCCTGCATCCCTCTGGTTTGACTGGGGCTTTCACAGGGTTTTTCCAGGGCCCAGCCGCCCTCCAGAATTTCCTTGAGCTTTGCCGATGCCCGGGCAGTTCCCTGCTGCACTCGAGTGCCCTGGGACCTTCGCCAGGTGAAACAGAGGGTGCAACCAGCAGCAGCAGAGGAGAGGGTGAGGAATCCTGGCTTGGAAACGTTGTTCTGGTAAGAAAGGCACAGCGTTCCCTCCAGCGCGACCTGGGATTTCTCAGCTGTCACCGCCGTGCTGTTGAGCGGGGTCCAACAACTGGCCAGACCAGGCCACGCAGCCCAGCCACGCTCTGTGAGCGGCCGCTGCCTCCCTGCCCAAAGCTCGGGGCAGAAATCAACCTCTCACTCCTTGCAGGTCCTCATTGTGCCACCACCTCGCCCCCAGGGAAAGCACAAACCAATGCCCGACACGCGGCCGCAGCAGCATTTATTTATGGCCGTGAAGAGAAGTCTTATACGAGGGCATGGAGCTGTCAGGAAAGCTGATGCAAGGTACCAGCCCTTCTGGGCCTTTCTTTTCCTCTTCCATTTATTTTATTGATAATGTAGTGATTTATTTTACTGACTGTATGCTCGTTAGCTGCTTCCGAAGGCAGCCAGGAGCCTCCAGGACTTCCTGGTAAAAGAACGGCAGGCTGCTTTCATGGTCTTCATTTTATTACAAAATCCTCAGTACCTCAACGCACCTCAACCCTTAACAGAGCAACCAGAAAGAACAGAACCACAGCAATTAACTGCTCGTCAAAATACAACGGGGCTTCCTAGAGAGCAAAGCATGGACAGGGACCTCCCGTGCCTCACCCACCGAAGCAGCAGCTCTAACAAGCTCTATCAAAAGGAGCTCTGGTTTTGTCACTCGACAGAGCTCCCTCCCGCAGGTGTTTCAGCCAAAACGGGCAGCACTTGGAGGAAGGGGGGCCCTGAGATTTAATCCGTTCGAGAAGACTGCAGCAGGCAGAGGGCCGTTCGGCTGAACGGAGGCTGGAAGGCAGCACAGACACCAGAAACGCTGCGGAGCTGCACCCCCCCCCCCCCCTTCAAGCCCTGCGGGGGGGGGAAGGCCCCCC